GAAATACAATAGGCAGAGAAGAGCGAGAATTGCAAGTAAATTAATAAAAAGGGAGTGAGAGAAATGCGTGTGTGCTTGAGTGTGTGTGTGCGTGTGTGTTTGTGTTTGTGAGCGTGTGTGTGTGTGTGTTTGTGCGTGTGTGTGTGTGTATTTGTGCCTCTGTATGTGTGTGTTTTGTGTGTGTTTCTGCGTGTTCGTGTGTGTGTGTGTGTTTATGTGCGCGTGTGTGCATTCATTTCTGTGTTTCTGCGTGTTCGTGTGTATATGTGTGTTTATTTGTGCCTGTATATATTCATTTCTCTGTGTGTATTTGCATACTTGATATGAATGACACAGAAACTATAATAAGAGCAAAAAAGATAAAAAAGAGAAAATTGATAAAACCAAAGAGCAACGAAAAGAAAGAAAGAGACAGACAGAGAGAGACTTAAAAAAAAAACAACGAGATAAAGATCTAGAAACCCGGCACAAATAAGTGGAAATTGCGCCTCACGTAGATTTCAGAGACAAAAAAAAATGGACGAGAAAAGTCAGGCGCGTTCCATTCCAAAACCCAAAAATATACTTTATCAGATTAAAGGCACGCGGGTCATGACAAGCAAGCGAGGTGAAAAAGAAAAAAAAAATAGATTAATAGATAGATAAGATAGACGAATAGATGAAAGATTAGACTGGGAGTGATAGATAGAGAGGAAAAAATCATTGTCTTAAAATTTGGAATGTTTAAGACAAACATCTTTCATCTTTTTTACACATCTCAACATCAACGTCAAATTTATATCGAGATAATCCCTTAGTGATATTAAGTTTAAGAAATAAAGAAAGAAATAAGGAACGGTAACACAAGATAAATAAGAAAGACAGACAGAGAGATGGGGGTACATATAGACAGGGAAAGAGAGAGAGTGGGGAGAAAGATAGACAGATAAACAGAAAAAAAGAGAAAGAGAGAGAGGGAGGAGGAATGAGAGAGAGAGAGAGAGAGAGAGAGAGAGAGAAAGAGAGAGAGAGAGAGAGAGGAGAGAGAGAGAGAGAGAAAGAGAGAGAAAGAGAGAGAGAGGCAGACAGACAGAGGAGGAACGAGGGAGAGGGAGAGATAGAGAGAGAGAGAGAGAGAGAGAGAGAGAGATAAAGGAGGTTAAAAAAAAACATACTAATCTAATATGACCCATAGCATGGATCCTTACAAGAAAAGAGGCGTTTATCTAAGAAATAAAGAAAGGGAAAACAGATGCTCCCGCTACTATCCGAAAAGGGGAGTTAAAAAACACTGAATCTAATTATCCTCCATTTCTTTTAAGGGTAACTGAAGCATAAGAAATAAATGAAGGGAGACGCAGGAGGGAAACGATTGCAAATGGAAGAGACGGTAATAAAACTGGAAATAGGGGTAGCGAAAGGATGAAATGAAAAGAGAAAATATTTGGTAGCATTTCTTTCCTAATGCAATCAGTATTATCAGTAGCCAGTCGAGATTGAGAGAAAAAAGATTGAAAAGGAAAAAAAAGGAGAGAGAGAGAGAGGGGGGGGGGTAGATAGAAAGAGAGGTAGAGACAGACAGCTAAACATAGAATTAAATTAAGGAAGTGAGATATATACA